CCCTGACCCGAAGCCACCCTCTAAGGGGCGGATCTTGAACTCCGGCCCGGGGAATCGCTGATGCGGTGCAGGCACCGATGGGTCTAGTGAATGAAGACAAGAACTCCGAGGGCCCGCCTTTCTAATCTAGAGGGCGTGCTGCCAGACTTCCCACTGAAGGGACCAGTTTGCCTCAGACTTTTTTTTTTTGGGGGGGGGCGGGGAGGGAAGAGGAGATGTCCATTTATGACTGTTCAGGTAACAAATCATTGTCAACTTTTGCTCAAGGAAGTCAGGTAACAAATCATTGTCAACTTTTGCTCAAGGAAGTGTCTTACAAAACCCCAGTGTTTGGGGATGCTGCTGTCTAATTATCTCGTCACCTCAGTTTCATCGTCTGTCCCTGAAGCCCATCTCTCTTTTTAAAAGATTTTGTGTGTCTGGATATTTTGCCTGCATGCATGTCTGTGCACTATGGGTGTACCTGGTGCCTGCAGAGGCCAGGTGAGGGTATCAATTCCGAGACTGGAATTGCAGATGACTGTGAACCACCATGTAGGTGCTAGGAATCAAACTCAGGTCCTCCGGAAGAGTAGCCAGTGTTCTCAACCACTATGCCATCTCTCCAGCTCCCCTGAAATTCATCTTGACAACCAGGTAGATACCCTAAAAACCTCCCGCTTTGAGACAGGCCAAGAATCTGAAAGCAATGTCTCTTTTAGTCGGTTTTCTGAGAACACAATATCACAGACCCAGTAAGTCCATTTTCCATTGTCAAAACAAAATGCCCCAGGCTGGGTACTTTATGAAGAAATGAGATTCGTGTAGCTCACAACTTTGTAGGCAGAAACTCCAAACAGCAAAGCATCAGCTCTGATGAGGGGTTCATGGAGAAAGGCTTCACAGGGGACTATGAGACAGATCACACTGAAAAGGAGCCAGTGTGGGAAGGGACCGGGGCATTGCTCTTTGATAACAACTCAATCTGGAAAGAACTGGTGTCAAGGAGACTTACTACATTAATCCTTTTCATGGGCATTGCCCTGACAGCCTCTCAATTCAACTCACTTCCTACCACACTGAAGATCAAGTGTTCATGCAAGAAATTTTGAGGGATACAAACCATCCAAACCATAGTGGTAAATTATAAAAGAAAGTTTATTTTGGCTTGTAGTTCTTGTCTGAAGTGGAGGGCCTGTAGCTGGTGATGACTTTTCTTGCTGGCGGTCATGAAACCGCACAAAGTATTACAGGGCATCCTAAGATGAGCTCCAGGGACCACTGAGGGGACCTAGGCAAGCCTTTTCTCTTGTGTTAAGGATCAACCCTAGGACCTCACACATGCTGAGCAAAGTACTCTGCCACAAGTTATAACTCCAACACTACTTTTAAAAACATGTATTTGTGTGTGTGCTTTTATTCACTTATGTGAAGGTCAGAGGATAACTTGCAGAAGTCGGTTTTCTCCATCACGTGGGGCACGTGGTGGAATTCAGGTGGGTAGACTTGGTGACATGGCAAGCACCTTTATCCTATCAGATGAGCCATCTCATGGGCCCTCCCTAACTACTTTTATAGCAGATCCACTCTGAAGGCAACATATCAGCATAGTAATCTCATGAATGGATTTGTCTGTTCGTGAGGACAGAACCATAGTCACCTCTTATCAGTCTCCAGTCCCATCTCTTCTTAAGGAGACTAAATCTACTGTGTTTCAGAAGAAACGAACTATACCCAGGCTGTAACCAACTTTCTTCCTCATACTCTCAAAGTCTGGGGCTTTGGATTCCTGTTTCCTTAACTAGCTCACTTCTACCCTTACTGTAAAAACTGACCCAGGTGGTTGTATTAAACATGAAAATTAACCTTCAGAAGCTGAGGGCAAATTAAACAAATCTACACTTGCATTTTAAAAAATTGAGTGGATTCCTTACCTCATTGAAAAACCGTAGTTTATCTCTAAATGTGAACCCTTCATAGGATATAGATTTAATATGACACTCACTGAATGGTAGATCTTTGGATTTGAGAGGCTGTGAGACCTTGTACAAGTTCTTCAACTTTCCAAACTACAATTTCCTCAATTATAATTTATGGAGAAGACCAGCCACTATTTCCCTGGGCTGTTTAGAAGGTTAAATGATGGGAGAGATCACTCAGCAGTTAAGAGAATGTAAGAGGACCCAAATTCAGTTCCCAGCACCCATACCAGGTGTCTTCAGTTCCCGGAGATCAGATGTCCTTTTTTAGTCTCAACAGGCGCGTGCGCGCGCGCGCGAGCACACACACACACACACACACACACACACACACACACACACACACACACACACGGGGGGGGGGAGGGAGAGGGAGAGAAGAGAGAAATATTAGGAAATGATAGTATAAACTGGAATATTATCTAGTATATACAAAGTACTATTTGAGGATTGTTTGAAAATATGCAGCACTTCAAAGCCAACTTTATGCAGCACTTTCCCAACACAAGCCAGGGCCCTCTGGATTTTCCCCTCTGTTTTCCAACCACTCCCCAGCAGTTTTCAAGCAAACTGAACCCAAATGTTTTAGCTTCATGTAGCTAGACCCACCAAGGGCACTTTACTAACAGATATCCAAAAAACTCTGCAGAAACGGTGAATGTAAAGTACCTCAGTGCAGGACAGCAATAGAGGGAGTGTGATAGTATTTGTCAACCTGAAAGAATGCAGTACCACTCAGGAGACAAGCCTCTAGGCACATCAGTGAAAGAGCTTTTTAGGTTACAGTAGCCTCTGGGCAGGCCTGTGAGTGAGTTGTGTAATTAGGTTCATTGAATAGGGAAGACCTATTCTCAACTGTTTCCTGGACTGCACAAAAAGGAGGAAGGCAGCTGAGCATAAGCGTTCAACATTCTCTGCTTCCTGACTGAAGATGCAATGTGAGAAAGGCTTTACATAGCTCCCAGGTCCAGGCTACTGTGTATCATGGCAGGGAAGTCACGGCAGAGGGAGCCTGGGGGAGCTATTCAGTCACACATTCATCCACATTGGAAAGCAGAAAGCTTGAATGCATATGGTCAGCTGGATGTCTCCTTTTATTCAGTGCGGGACCCCCAAGCCCAGGGAATGAATGACTCTGTCCATTTTTAGGCTTCCCCACATCAATGCCTCAAAGGCGTGCTCTGAAACCCATCTTCCAGGTGATTCTAGGTTCTGCCAGGTTGACAGTTAACATCACCAAGGA